TGTCACGGATTTGCCAGATGTGGGATTGATTGCACATTCCTGTAGCACACACCGGCAGATGCCTCGTGAACTACAGCTTTTTGGCTCTGTCGTGAATTTCGTGTGAACCCGCGACACTTGTGACATTGCTGAAATCGTGGGGGTGGGAGGGCTCCAGCTGTGGGGTGACGGGGAAGACAGCAGGTCCGGTATACTACAGGATAGAAATTGAAACAATCAGACACCAGAACTAGACTTTCGCCCCAGGCCCGCTCTTGTTGGGGGGGGCGACGTAACTCTCTAATGGTTCCTGGTTGACTGAACAACCGTAACCCCACTTACAACCCACTTTTCCCTCACACTAGTAACCCCTTCTCCTGCATAAATTACTTAATTTACAAAGAGAAACTTTCGTTTTTCTTTTTGGGCCACCCTGCCTGGTGGGATGTGGTCGTTTGTTGAAAAAACGTAAAAAAAAAAGTTCTTTGAGTATAACTGTAAAGTGTATGGTAGAGTTATTATTGAAAGAATTAAGAGTAAGATGAAGAGTTGGATAGCAGATGAACAAGGAGGCTTGGGAAAGGTAGGGGGTGTGTAGACAGAAATGTTTACAGTGAAACTATAGGTGAACAGTATGTAGATATAGGTACAGAAAGGTTTTTGTGGCATTTTATGGATTGGAACAAGGCATATGACAGAGTGGCGAGGGGGCAATGTGGCAGATATTGCAGGTTGGTATGGTATAGGAGGAAGGTACTGAAAGCAGTGAAAAAGTTTTAATGAGATATGAGACTCAGGTTAGAGTTACATAGTATGTAGAGAGGAGATTATTTCCAAAAAAGTCGGCCTTAGACAAGGATGTTGATGTCACCGTGGTTGTTCAATATATATCTAGATGGGTTCTTAGAGAAGTGAATGCAGGGTCTTGGCAAGAGGTGTGGAGTTACAAAGATAAGAAACAACACAAAGTGGGAGTTTGTCACAGTTCACTTGCTGTGACACTGTGCTTTTGGAGATTCTGAAGGAAGTTTGCAAACGTTGGGGATGAAATTTAGTTAGGGTATGTAAAAGAAGAAAATTAAAATGACATGTAGGAAAGAGTAAAGTTATGAGTATAAAAAGATAGGTGACAACAAGATGATATCAATTGGAGGAGAGAGTATGGAGAGTGAATGTATTCATATATTTAGGAGTGGACTGTCGCAGATGGGGTCTGTGAAGGATGATGTAACTCAAGACTGATAAGGGGAAAAGGGTGATGTGCACTTAGTAGTCTTGGAGACAAAGAAACTTGTTCCGTGTAAGCAAAGCGGGAATATACCTGGAGTTTACCTGTAGAGAGTTCCGGGGTCAACGCCCCCATGCGCCCGGTCAGCGACCAGGCCTCCTGGTGGATCAGAGCTAATCAACCAGGCTGTTGCTGCTGATCTGCACGCAAACCAACATACGAGCCACAGCCTCGGCTGATCCGACTGAACTTTAGGTGCTTGTCCAGTGCAGCTTTGAAGACTCCAGGGGTCGTGTTGTAATCCCCTTATGTGTGCTGGTAGGGCAGTTGAACATTCCGTCCCCTAGACACTTATTGTATGGGTCTCTAACGAGCTAGTGACACCCCATGCTTATATCTGGGGGGATGTTCACGTACCTCCAAGTCTTTAGCTTTCTGTAGTGGGTGATTTCGTGTGCAAGTTTTCGGTACAGTCCCTCTAGGATTTCCATGTTATATATAAATCATGTATCTCTCCCACCGCGTTCCAGGGAATACAGGTTTAGGAACCTCAAGCGCTCCCAATAATTGAGGTGTTTTATCTCCGTTAATGCGCGCCCGTGAAAGTACAGTACATTTTCTAGTCGCAATTTCACCTGCCTGAAAGGTTCTGTTAGTGTCAGCAATATTCCAGCCTAGATAGAACAAGTGACCTGAAGAGTGTCATCAAAGTGGCTTGGCCTCCCTTATTTGGAAGGTTCTCATTATCCATCCTGTCATTTTTTCTAGAGATGCGATAGATACAAATGTTATGGTCCTTGAAGGTGAGATCCTCCTACATGTACACTCCCCAGGTTCTTTGGACGTTGTGTTTCGCTCTATTTTGGTGGCCAGAATTTGTTTTGTACTCTGATGACGATTAATTTCCTCATGTTTACCATATCTTAGTATTAAATTTCTCATCGTAGAACACATATTGTTTTCTGCAGCCCATGAAAGATTTGGTTGATGGTCTGCCTGACTTTGCAGTGTCTGCAATGGTAACACTGTCAATGCAGATTCGGGTGTCATCTGCAAAGGGAAGACACGTCTGTGGCTGACATCCTTGTCTATTTCGGATATAGTATGATTAACAATGATGGAGCGAGTACAGTGCCTTGTGGAACAGATCTTTTCCAACCGTAGCTGCCTCGGACTTTACTCTGTTGACGACTTACTCTTGTGTTTCTGTTTAGTGAGGAAAATTATAGATCCATCGACCGACTTTTTCCTGTTATTCCTTTAGCACGCATTTTGTGCGCTATTACGCCATGGTCACACTTGTCGAAGGCTTTTGCAAAGTCTGTAATATATTACACTGCATTCTTTTTGTCTTCTAGTGCATTTAGGACCTTGTCGTAGTGGCCAATAGTTGAGACAGACAGGAGCGACCTGTTCAAAACCCATGTTGCCCTGGGTTGTAACTGATGTGTTACCTAGATGCGTGGTGATCTTGCTTCTTATGAGAAAAAAGTTGTCTCAACAACTCTTGTTTGGGTGTGAAGCATGGTTGATGAATGTTCAGTTAGGAAAAGATGGGGCAGTGGAGATTTCAGGTCTGAGGGCAGTTGTGGTGTGAATATATGCAGAAAATTCGTAGTTGGAAATTAGGAGGAAGGTGTGGTGGGATTCCAAAACTATAATCAAGAGGGCTGAGAGAGTGTTGTTGAGGTGGTTTGGACGTGTCAAGAGAATGGAACAACAAAACGGAATGACTTGAGAGTGTATAAAATCTGTAGTGAAGGTGGAATTCGGGTAGGGTTCAGCCTAGGAATGGTTGGAGGGAAGGGGTAAAGGAGGTTTTGAGTGAGAGTGGCTTGGACCTTCAGCAAGCGTGCATGGCATATTTTGATGGAGTGATGGAGACGAAATGGTTTTTTATACTTGACATGATGCTGTTGGATTTTGAGCAAAGTAACATTTTATGAGTGATTCAGGGAAGCTGGCAGGCCGGACTTGAGTCCAGAGATTGTGAAGTACAGTGTCCCTACACTCAGAAGGAGGGGTGCTAATGATGCAGTTTTTATAACTGAAGTGTAAAGCACCCCACTTGCAAGACAGTGATTGGAGTGATTAATGATGAAAGTTTCCTCTTTTTCGGGCACCCTGCGCTTGGTGTGAATCGGCCGATGCGTTAATAAAAAAAAAAAATTAGGTACGTTTGGACGCTATGGTAACAACATAGAACAACATTTGGACAGTTTAAGGGGTTAATGTATTGAAATGACTAATAATTGACCATGCAGTACATAACAAATGCTTCAGCTCCACTTTTTATAGAAAGATGTTGGGTAATAGGTACTATGTCTTTTAAGAAAAAGAGGATAAATAAGTACTACAATATATGACATAGGAATGTAATGACAATATAGTTTGTGGAATTCATGTTGGTAGAAAAAAAGTTGATGGTAGACTTACAGGTGTGCATGTTTATAGAAGGGCAACAGATATATGAATCATTTTTTATTTGTAGCTATAGTGAAAGGTAAATGTTAGGTGGGTAAAAGGGAGAAGGGTATCAGCAAGTAATAGAGAGATGAAGGTTTATGAACTAAGGAGTTAGTAGGGTAAGATATAAATAACTGTTGGTAGTAAGATGGGCTAGTGAGAGTATAAGCAATGAGTTGAAGAGGTAAGGGGTAGATTTAAGAATGCAGCATTAGTGTTCATCAGAAATTTGTTGGATATTGGAGGGTGGGTGCAGGATGGAAGAGGAGCGATTAGTGGAATACTGAGGTAAAGTGAGTGGTAAGAAAAGAAGAAGGTAGCATATGAAGGGTTTTTATAAAGCAAAAATGATATAAGGAGGAGAAGTATATGAAGAGAAAAAGAGATGTTAAGAGAGGTGAGGTAATGTAAAAGGAGAGCAAATGAAAGAGTGGGTGAGAGGCTGCCAATGAAATTTGCTGACAAGAAAAAAGTTTTGGAGGAATTTTAAATAAATAGAAAGCCTGGGAAATGAATGGATTCGACAGTTAAAAATAGAATAGGAGAGTTATTACATTGGAGTTGGAGGTATCAGAAGATGGAAGGGAAAATTTTGAGGAAACTGTTAAATGTTAATGAAGAGAGGGAAGCTGTATTTCATGCATTGGCCAGAGAGGTATAACATCTTTTAGGAGTGAAGAAGAGCCAGATGTTAGTGTGGGAGGTACGTGAGACTGTGGGTGTACAATAAAAAATGGGTAAAGTAGTTGGGATTGATGGGGTCAAGACAAATGTTAAGGCAGGTATGGATATAGTTTTGGAGTAGTTGGTGCTTTCGTTCATAAATGTAATGAAAAGGGGAAGGTACCTAGGGATTGAACAGGGACATGCTAGGGTTTACATAGTTCATTTCTGTAAGACAAGGGGACGAAAGAGAGAGAGTTTTAATAATTATAGGGAAATAGACTTATTCAGTTTTTCCTGGTAAAATGTATGGTAGAGTTATTTTTGAAAGAATTAAGGGTAAGATGGAGAGCAGGATCGCAGATGAACAAGGAGGCTTTAGGAAGGGTAGGAGATGTGTAGACCAAAACTGAGAATATGACTTGATCTAACCTTGACTCTTCACTCACTTTTCCTAACCCATTTCTGAATTTCTTCATCTAACCTGTCTTCTGGAATTTCTTCATCCAACCTGTCTTCTGCTTCCTTACCTCTTCATCTGACCTGCTTTCTTGTACTCTCCCCACTTCCTCTCTCAGTTGGACACACAAACCTAGTCTAAGGTATCCTCTCCAAAGTGGGTCTTAGTTGAAATATTTACTGTATACTGTATATTATTTTCTAGGTAGAGGGAAGTACTGGTGAAGAGAGCACCAGAAAAATTCTCCCAGTTCCTGAAGTGGAAGTGTTGGAAGGAGCAGATACAGTATTTCTTGGAGGACACAAAGATGGTGCTGATTTAATTCCACGTGACATGCACAATAAAGCTCATCCCAACACAGAGGTGTCCCGACTTCTAGGAATTTTTGCAGTTCTTGTGTCATGTATCTCTAGTGGATTTTCTGGTGTATACTTTGAACGGCTTGTCAAGAGAAGTTCACAGACTTCACTGATTATCAGAAATATACAGCTTGGTAAGTTATATTTCATCTTCATAAATTAAATATACAGTGGCACCTCGGATACGAGCAGCTCAAAACTCGAACAATTATGTAAGTACTTTTGTAAGTGTATTTTTGGGGTCTGAAACGGAGTAATCTAATTTACATTATTCCTTATTGGGAACAAATTTGTTTGGTATTGCACTAGAACAGCCTTCTGGAACGAAATAAATTTGTATCCCGAGGTACCACTGTAGTTCTCTAAAAATACCACACTGGCATTTTTGCAGCAAGGTAGGTTACCCCCATAAAAAACAAAAAAGGAACACATTCTCAGCCACTCGTATGATAGCTGCTTTCCAGAAGTTCCTGGACATCACAGTTCAAAAGACCATCAGAACCACAACATCCTCACCCATCCTTCAGAATATAAGCATTTCAATTTTTCCCCAAGAACTCAGAGTGGCTAACTAGTTTTGCTCCATTTCTTCATAAATGTTACTTTGCTTACATTACAGCAATGTATGAAATCACCCAAAACCACTCGTCTCCACTCTAGTGTAACACATTCACACATGCCTGCTTGATGTTCATGCCTTTAACACTCCAAACCTAATTTACATAATCCCATCACCTCTCCTGGGACATTCCCTACACCTTCTAGCACATCCTAAGTTTTATACTCTTGACTAGCCTATTCTATTCTACCTGAGGATCTATTTAATTGTGCACTCAATGCTCATCTTATGAACAGTAGTACATAAGACATAGTAGGTCTGTGTTATACCCCAATGAACATAGTTAAATCTCTCTCTCTCACCTAGATCTATGTTATTGATGCCAGCAACACTTGTGTAGATCTACACATAAATTCTAGCAGCCTCACGTTTGGCATAGCCATGAGAGAACAGGGCTGTGTGGTCAATGTGCACAGTACAGTCATATCCTGCCCTTCGTCATTAATTGTTCCAAGAGCCATGACGTAACCTGGCTTTGATGTAAACTGGAAGTAATGCCTTTAAATGACAACAAACACCATAAAACTTGGTGTAAATAACTCACGGAAGACTGTAACTATCGCTAAATCTAAAGAACGCTAAAAGCACATTTTAGTCATATTTTTTCAAGAATAATGAGCACAATTAAAAAATTATTTTTTACCTGTGATTT